AATGGAAACGGGCTTAGGGCTTCAAGCCTTTTAAATTGACCTCAGGCCGAAGCCTGGTGTTAGCATGCACAGTGATGGTGCGGTGGGTGTGCCGCACCATGCCCAATTTCTTTTTTTTTTTAAAAAACAAAAACAATCCCTTAGGGTTTAGGAAACCCTAAATATGCTTTTAATTTAATTTAATACATTGACTCACAAATTCCACATAACAATTTAATTGTGCGATGCATGAAATAAATATATATATTGACAAATATATAAACATATACAAAATATATATATATTGAAAGGAAAATATAAACATAGAAGGGTTCATGCATCATGGGGAATGTTTTCATACTTCGTGGACGTTTTAAATATCTTCTTTTATTTTAAGCATACTTGATTAGCAGAAAACGAATAAGCCTTTGAATTTGGTGGATGATAGCCTCCTCTTATGATGCGTCAATTCCTTAGCTTTCTGCAAGAGCGTGCTGATAACGTGTTGTAGGCCTATTTGATTGAACGATCTAGGGTTTAGAGGGAGAGACGGGGCTGACCACAATTAGAAATAAGAGAGATTGATTTAATTGTCAGGTGTGTTTGATTCACCCCATTGTGCCTTTATTTATAGTAGTAGGATATGCAAATACCTTTCCCTTTAGGATTACAATATTTAATAGGTAATCTACTCCTAATAGGAATATAAGATACTTTCCTATATCTCCTAGGATTTACACAATCACATTCTTATTCTAAATATGACTGCAACATTAATGACCTTTTAAAAAAGAAGACATATTTGTTCATTTCTCCTAAACTTGTATAGAGCTGTTAATTTCCCCCCATTGAACTTTAACTTTGGCCGATTACCCATAAACTTGTATAATTAGTCAATTTCCCCCTTGAACTTTAATTTTAATCGATTACCCCCTGAATTTTTATAAATAGCCAATTTCCCTCATGACGCTAGATTTTAAAAATTTTCATCCAATTTTTCATCCATTTTGATCACGTCAACAACACATGACAACTGTATGGGGACAAAAAGAATGGAAAATTGGATGGATGAAAATTAGATCAAAAATTTTAAAATCTAACTCTAGGGGCGGAATTGGTTATTTATAAAATTTTAGGGGACTAATTGGCAAAACTTAGAGTTCAGGTGGGTAATCGGCTAAAATTAAAGTACATGAGGGAAATTGGTAGCTCTATACAACTTTGAGAGGCAAACCGAAAAGTACTTCTGAAAAAAAAAAAACCAGTTTTAGAATCACTTAAGGTCTATTTATTGACCATTAAGTGATAGGAGCATATTTATGCGACTTAGTTAGCTTATTTCTTGGCATTTATGTTGTTAGTTCGTAGTTATTTTAGTATTTTAAGCTATTTTCGTGTGTTTGTAGGTCCAAAGGGTTAATGTGGCAAAGAAGTGCATTTTGGAGCATTTTGGAGCATTTTTGGGCATGGAATGGATGGCATATGCTTGGAGCAAAAGGAATGGACGAAATTTGAAGTTTGTGTATCATCCTCTCCCTATAAATAACCATTTTAGCACACTCATTTCACCTAACACATCCATTCACCTACCACTACATCCACTCATTTCACCCAACACATTCACCTACCATTACATCCACTCATTTCACCCAACACATCCATTCTCCAAACATCCATCCACTACACCCATTACATCCACTCATTACCAAACACTCATCCACTACACCCATTACATCCACCCACTACACCCATTATATCCACTCATTACCAAACATTCATCCACTACACCCATTACATCCACTCATTACCCAACATCCACCCACTACACCCATTACATTCATTACCAAACATTCATCCACTACACCCATTACATCCACTCATTACCAAACATCCACCCACTACACCCATTACATCCACTCATTACCACAACACTCACCCACTACACCCATTACATCCACTCATTACAACTCCATACACTCCTCTCCCTAGCCTATAAATACATCCACCCTTCACCATAATTTGGGGGCCACATCCAAAGACACTACATTTCACATCTCACAACTTCATTCACAAACACAATTTCTTTGCCATGACCTCCATCCATTCATCTAGCCATACTACATCTCACCAATCCATACACTTTCATCTCTTAGCCGTGCAAATCCATTCCATCCATATATCCATACACATCCTAGACACTTGTGCTACAACAAGGTGTTGAAAACAAAGGTCCTTGACGTTTCAAGCTTGGAACTTTGGAGCGTTTTAGGTGTACTCCGTTCTTGCTTTCAATGTCTACTTTGTTATTTTCTAATTTTTTGTTGCAATTATGAGTGGCTAAACCCCTATTTAGTTAGGGGGAAGTTTTGAAGCCATGAACATGCTTGAGATTTGAATTGATTTCTTCCAATTGTGATTTGATAAGTTGTGATTGCAATTCAATTATCTATTTTATTCATAACTGATTCTTGTATGTTTATTAAGGATGCATACTTAGTTTTCATGCATGAATTAGATGCTAGAATATAAATGAGTTTCACCTAATCGTTACAAGTTTATATTCATGAGTAGTGAAGGTTGTCTATCACAATCGCGTTAATTGAATTCTTGGCAATTGTATCATGCATTCATAGTTATAATTGTCTCGTCAACACTTATGATTTTCATTGAACGTAATGATCTCTGATTGTATCTCTATTATGCATTCATATAGGGGACTTTTAGAGAATGATTTGGGTTGTCGCATGCATTCATCCAATTTAATGAGTAAAGGAAAATCTGAGGGTTAATTTGTGCATCACGGTTAATCTGGGGTGTTGAGTATCATAGTTTATTGAAAGCAATTGGAAATCGATTCATGTACAAGTGTGTCATGTGTGAAGAACGGACATCTAACTAATCCATCCATCATCGTATTCCTTAAATTTGTCTTACAATCTGCCTAGTTTAATAATTTGTTTGTTTGTTTCAAATTCATCAAAACCAAAATCCCCCTTTTTACTTTCTTGTTTCAAAGTGTTAAATTTCTGTTTTGTTTGTGTTTTTGAGTGTTTTGATTCAAGCCAAAACACTAAATTCGTCCAAAGTTGTGTTAGAGTCAGAAACTGCCTAGTTTGTGTTTTTAGGCAGTTTTGAGTGTTTTAAAGTTGTTTTGAGTCTTGTGAGTCTATTCAAACGTTTTAACTTTGTTTTTATGTTTTTGAGTTAGTTTAGAGGTTTTAGCAAGCCCTCCTAATCCCCGGTTTAGAACGATCCCTACTTGCATTTATACTACAATTTGACAACAAGAGGGTTTAATTTGAGTGCTTAACTTTCATCGCATCATTAAGTTCTATTTTTTTTGGGTCAAACAATGGATTTGTTAGATTAGATGTTAGAATAAGAAGTTAATGGTGTTCGAACCCACGTTGTGGTGAAAGCATAACACTCATTTCTACCATTGTAGTACAGGGTCATTTGCAACAATTAAATTCTTTAACTTGTCAGTTTTTTTTTTTATTTTAAATTTTTATCTATGAAGATTCTTTTCATTAGTTATCGTATTTTCCGATATATACTTGGGACTCGGTATGAACCCAAACTCAAATCAAAACCATAATTTAGGCATGAATAATGAATGTCAATATTTCACAAACTATTCTTCTATGGGTCAATTTTAGGCACTGATGATCAACTTGGATTGGACTTTCACAAATTATATAAGATGTTGGGGTGGGGGGAGGGGGGTGTGGGTTGGGGCCTGGTGTTTAGACGAACTAAACAAATTTAAGTAAATTATTATATATTGTATAAGAAAGTGCTTATTTATACTTAAAAACACATAATTGTATTGGAATACATAAAGTGCAAAATAAAATGACATATAGATTATAAAGTATAGGGGGAGACTAAAGTTGTAGACAAAATTTATAAACTAAATAATGTGTCACCAATAGAAATGATCATGTTTATTAATGCTTAAGAAACAATCCAATCAACTTCCATGTCATTTAGTTTATCAATTTTTTTTCTACAAATTTAGTCTCCCTAATATTACCCTAAAGTATAAGACCATGTTGAAAACATTGGGAATAAGCATATAGTGAGTGTTCATCAAAGTATTCAACAAGTCATTTTCATTTAATTGACAAAAATAAAAGGCAAAACGAAAGTTATCGATTTTCTATCTAGGTGGGAGTCTCGACCTAGGCAGGTTTAAGCGTATTTTATTAATTTTCAAACACCTAAGAACTAATTAGGACAGCGGCCAATCGTCTAACGCCTAGGCAGGGGAATTAGGCACGTCAGACGAAGATTTTTAGAACATTGGATTTCCATAATTTTATTATAGAAAAATATTTTACACGATGGTGTGAAGGAATTTGGGTAAATCACATGGTGAACCTACCATAATAATGGGATATCGAATTCCTTATTCACAAGAGTCAAATCTAATATTAGTATTAATGACATTCTTTTATTGTTTGATACAAGCGGAATCTAGCCAATCTTTCCTCAAGCTACAACACACTAGAGAGAGGCATCAAATAGTATCTTATTATCAAATAACAAGTCGTTTATTTGAGGATCGGTGCTCATTCTAATCACTCGACAAGAAAAAGAAAAGAAAAATAAGCGAGGCTAACCTATAAGTACATGACAATTTATAAAGAGAAAATCATACAAGACAAGAAGTTTGTATTACTAACTTAAAAGTACAAAAACAAAGAAATCTCAATGCATAGGTCCATTACTAATCCCAGGAGAGCCCAAAATAATAGGCACGATGATAGGAGCATGCGATTTGAGAGACAGAGATACTTGTAAGTAGGTAAAACAGATGGGCAAGTAAAGGTTGTGGCCATGAATATTAAGGTTTTGGCATTCTAGTTTGAGACTAAGTACTTTTTAATTGTAGCAGCTAGCAGTGATTCCTATAGACTAGTCCAGCCTGTTAGGGAAAAGACTCTATTGGCAGGAAACTACTATGTTATCTCATTTTCTAAATTCTCATTAGAGACAAACGGTGCACTCTTTCGAGAAACAATTGAAAAGAAAAATGCATTGATGGAAAATCTTAAGTCGTTTAAACATATATGTTCAACGTAAAACAACAAAAAACAAAGGCACATGGAAACCCATTGTGAATTAGGGTTTAGTCATTTATTCTCTTCAAACAAACAAAACAAAAAATTCTTTTATTCCCACGCATGCATCCAAATACGTACGTTAGTTTTTGTATGACTTAACATTTTTTAGTGCATACACATCTCATCCGGAAGCCAGCACATTTGCCTCCCATAAATCCCTCTTTTTTGCATGTAGTTGCACAATTGCTTGACCGAAAGCAAATACCGCGGTATTTATGGCTCGGAGACTCACAAATCTTCGATGACTTCTCATTCTTTGACGAGTTCTCGTTTGTCTTCCCCTCAGTAACCATTGGCCCCGTTCCTGCCAAACATGCATCAATATATCAAAACACATATATGATTTTATAAAATTCCGGTTTTCCATTATATCAACGGGAGAAGGAATATTCGAATTCAAAACTTCTTTCGACAATACTATATTGTTATATCTTGGGTTAGATATAAAGATCAAATTAAGATAAGGAAAGAGAGATACCAATAGCCACCAAAAGTAAGATGAGGATGAAGATAGTTGAAAACAAACGCCCGGAACGCTCCATCTTGATTTTGTGGGATGTGTGTGTGTTTGTGCACGCGTGTGAAATATGTACAAGTGAGATAAAAAGAGAGTCGTTGATTCAAAGAACTAACCTTGAAGGTCCTTATATAGAGTTGGTATGAAAAAAATTAAGTGTATTTCCTTAAAAGGCGTTCCTTGATAAAAATAGCGAGTTTAGGGAAAACTTTCAGCTCCGAGAGACAAGAACAAAACCCTATTTTGGCTCATCATTCATCCTACATTTGAGGAGAGACAATGGCTCTTTTCTCCTCCCTTAAATTGAAATATTCCTTTTTGAGGTTACAAATGAGGAGTTCATGAATCTTTAACCTATTTGTACGTATCACCCTACTCACCCACACCACTAGATAACCCAGTTGAAATTGAAATATTACATTGTTGAAATGGCCCATACATTTTCCCTATCACAGTTGTCTCTTTCTGTTTTTTTGTTTTTATTTTAATTTTACATAATGCTAAAATATTTGGAAATTTTCGGGGCCTTGTGGTGGCTGTAGCTCCTAGGTTAGGCTTGTTTGCTGGACTCAGACCTGTTCATTGTGAGGCAAGTTTTTGTTTGATGCTTGGCCGTCCTAGCCTTTGTAGACTTAGCAATATCTTAAGCAGTCCATTAAACATAATTAATAATGTTTTAACTCGAATATTAGACAATTAATAGACAGATTAAATTATTGTTTTGAGTTTAAAATATTACCACAATTCCTTTATTCTTTCAAGTTGTTTGAGGAGCTTCAATTTCAGGAACACTTGAGTGGGTTGAACTTGTATATATAATATTTGCTTTTCTTTTTTTATGTTCTATAACAAAGAATAAAAGAAGCACGTTAATTGTAAATGAATAGAAGACAAAACAATTAATATAAACCAAACTATACAAGACAAAATAATTACCATTAAACACTCTTGATAAAAATCAAGCTCGGCTGGACTTGCTTCATACTCAATGTTGCTAATTTCTTCACTTCTTGTCTAGTTTTGGAGACATATCAATGATTCCATTGTTTCAAGAATGAGAGATGTTCTAAATGGGTAAATTACTTTGTCACCTGCACTAAATGCACTCTCACTAACAATTGTTGACAATTGAATTGGCAATACATCTCTCGATAACAAAGCAAGTGTGGGATATGTGCTCCTCCATTTTAACTTCCACCTTCAAAATGTCAAAGGTTTGACCATGTGCTACTTTCTCTAGCGTGTCAAGGAGATAACTATCCATCTCATGTGCAAGCGCAATATCCTTGGCGTCTTCTAGTTCCTTCTCCCAATCATCCATCATTTAACTAAATATCATTGGATTTTCTGTTTGTACACTAGAAGGTAATTGTTTTACCAGTGAAGAAGTAGTGTCAACAACTACATCTTCTTTACCCTTTTATTGTGTTCGTGAACCGAAAGCTTGTTGTGCATATTCATCACACATCACCTCCAACAATGTCTTCACTTCATTGTTTTTCTGCTAAATATATTCTTCAGGAAGCTCTGAATGCTTTTTACACAAGTGCATGAAGTGCCTCAATTTGAACCTTAAGTCTAAGACATGGGTAACTACAAATATTTGATTAAGAGACTCAATTAAACCAAAATACTTTCGGTATTTGGTTCTCATGCTCATTGCCATATCACGTAGCACCGACTGCACAGTTCCTCTAATTTGTATATATTCAGGCAAATAAAGTTTTCAATCTCGTTCTCCACAGCAATGACATCATGAACAGCTGTATTAGATGTGGGACACTTACTTGCACTAATTTTCAAAGTCACAAGATAGAAAACCTTTAAAAAATTCACAAACACTTATGCACCATCATAATCTTCCTCCTTAAGTGGTCCAACCTTACCTTTACTTGCCACTTTTTCTCCTTCATCATTAAGTACCATTTTTTTTCCCGAAGTAGCTCAAGTATATTTTGGCTTCATCATCTTCGAACATCCTTTCGAATGCATTTTTAAACTTCAAGCAAGATTCTAGCATCATGTATATGCTATTCCACCTAGTAGGCACATCTATACAACTAGACCTCTACTATCCAACTTCTCATTCTCCACACATTTCTTGAAATAACTAAACCTTCGGGGGCTTGATTTCACAAACCGACATTTCTAAGAGCTTCCACACTTGTATCTAATCTTTTCAACCTATCTTTTACTACCAAGATGACAATATGAGCTCAGCACCTCACATGCATAAACTTGTTATTCATAATAAGTTTACTATTAGGCCATTTTTGCATTTTACGAACAACATACTCAATTTCCACCTTATTAGTTGATGCATTGTCAACTAAGATACACATCACCTTTTCAACGGTTAGCACCATATAGTTCAAATTCTGCACACTTGTCCATGTATCAGTAGTCAAGCTAACTCTATATTTATGTATCTCATTTTTAAACTGATACATCATGGTATCATACATATTGAAAAACTCCCTCACAATAGTTCTCCGAGATGAAACATATGATCTACGCTGGACTTTGCACATCATCCGCAATACTAAAAGGAACCTTGTCAATCACAATGAACTCAACAATGTCTTTCCCAAATTCTTCTTGGCTCCACCCTTTAGCAACAAGCATGCTTTTAACGTCACCACACCCAGAAGGTCTAGAACTACCTAGAACCCTTTGCAACTCATCAGTTGGTTTATACATCTGGTAGAAATGGGTTCGAACAAGAACCATTATTGATAGCTTTATGCCCAAGTGGAATGAGCAGTACACATGGGAAGTGTTTGATCCTTGTACTGTTATAACAATTGGGGTATTTGATAACTACCATTTGCACGAGAAAAGGCTGGAGGGGCCAAGGATGTAAGAATTGGGAAGGTAATGATTCGTCTCTCCACCCTTGAGATTGATCGAGTTTACACACACAAGTACCTATTTTTAGTTCTGCACCCAAATGGTGTAAAAAAGATGGGTGAAATTCATATGGCTATAAGGTTCACTTGCTCTTATCTGCTTAACATGATGCACATGTACTCACAGCCCTTGCTGCCAAAAATGCACTACATTCATCCATTAACTGTAAGTTAGCGTGATACTTTGAGGCATTAAGCCATTCAGATTGTGTTGATGAGGCTGAGTCATGTTGAGCCACCGTTAAGGAAAGAGGTGGTCGAATATTTGCTGGATGTGGGCTCCCACATGTGGAGTATGAGAAGAAGCAAAGCTAACTTTTTCAAGATTATGAATGTTTTGGGTGGGATAATCACTGTTGGAAAATGGTTTGATCAGATCTGCAACTAGAAAAACCCCATTAGTACTGTACTCATTCATATCCTCTTTATTATTCTGGTCATGTACCTGTAGCTCATTTTACCTACAATTTTCCTCTACCTTTTCTTGATTGGAGTTTGGTACATAGATAACACTAATTTTAGGGTTTCAATATATTTCTCAATATTCTTCACTCATAGGAGGCAACACACACACACACACACACACACACACACACACGCATACACATATACACATACTCAATCTTTGTACTACAAGGAATATTAAAGACATAAAAAGAAAGTTACACCCAAACTAGGAAACACAATTGCATTCCAATTATATTATTGTTAACTCACGCTAACACTCCGCCTCAAGTCGATCTTGAAACCTTATTGCAGAAACTGCATGAGTTAGAATATTTGCCAACTGTTATTCTGTCTTCATGAACGAAATGTCAACTAACTTAACATCTAACTTTTCCTTGATAAAATGTCTATCTACCTCAACATGTTTGGTCATATCATGCTGCACCAGATTGTTAGCTATCTCCCGTATTGCTTGATTATCATAGTACAACATCATAGAACCTTTTGGTTTAAACCCTATCTTAATGAGTAGAATCCAAAGCCATAGAAGCTCACAAATACCATGCGCAATTCCTTTATACTCAACCTCGGCTGAAGACCTTGCCACCATATTTTGCTTCTTACTTCTCCATGTCACAAGATTACTAACTGCAAATGTGAAGTATCCCGATGTAGACCACCGATCAGTGATATTTCCAACCTAATCTGCATTAGTATACCCTTTCTATACATCAACCCTTTTCTTGGAGCTCCTTTTAAGTCACTTATACTTCGCATTACTGATGCCATATGATCTTCACTAGGAGTACGGATAAATTGACTCACCACATTTACTGCGTAAGTAATATCTGGCCTTGTAAGCGACAAATAAATCAATCACCCTACCAATCTTTGATACCTTTCCCTATTCACCAGGACTTAATCCTGATAAATTGCTAGATGATGATTCTGCATTATAGGTGTATCCACTAGTTTACACCGTAACATACCAGTTTCAGACAAAAGATCTAGTACATACTTTCTCTGAGATAACTATATTTCTTCCTGAGACCTAGCCACTTCAATTCCTAAGAAGTATTTAAGTTCTCCAAGATCTTTCATCTCTAACTTAGAAGACAAATGCCTTTGTAGACATTTGATTTCCATTGTATCATCACCTGTGACAATTATATCATCTACATATATGATAAGTAGAGTCACCTTGCCATCCTTGCGTTTGATGAACAATGTATGGTCTGCATTTCCTTGTTGATACCCATACTTCTTCATTGCCTAGGTAAACCACCCAAACCACACTCTGGGTGACTGTTTAAGGCCATACATTACCTTCCGAAGTTTATACACTTTCCCACTAGAGTTTGCAACGCAATAACTTGGTGGAATATCCATGTACACCTCTTCCTCTAAATCACCATGTAGAAAAACATTTTTAACATCTTACTGTCTCAAAGGGCAGTCATGGTTCGTAGCAAGAGATAATAAAACTCTAATAATATTCATCTTTGCAACATGAGAAAAAGTCTCCTGATAATCAACCCCAAAGGTTTAGGTAGAACCTTTGGCCACTAGCCTCACCTTGTATCTATCAATTGTTCCATCTGCCTTATGTTTAATAGTGAACACCCATTTGCACTCCACTGATTTCTTTCATTTGGGAATTGGGACCACACTCAATGTATTATTCTTTTGTAGTGCTTCCATTTCAACTTGCATTGCTTTTCTCCATTTCGAATCTTTTAAAGCTTCCTCCACTCTAGTGGGTATTTTGATGGTTTCAATTTGCTCAAATGCACAGTATTTTGGTGAAAGTTGATGAGTAGAGACATAGTTTGAAATGAAATATCGCTCATTTCCTTCTGGAGAGTACTTGTCTAATGGTTTTCCTCGATTTTGTCGATGAGGCAATCTATAAGATGGTTCAATAATTTTCGAGTGAGTACTTACCTCAGGAATATCCATTGGAGTATAAGGGAGTTTGTTACTATCTTCTAACTCACTGGAACTATTGCTCGAATTTGGGCGTTATCATCCTTGAAGGCTCACTCGGACCAACACCACAATTTCTATTTGGTATACTTAGGCTGGCAGCTGCAGATAGGCAGACAGTAGCAACATCATCATAATTTGGGTTACAGACAGTAACGTCAGCATGCGACCCATCATTATTCTCACTGGGTACAACATGCGGTCCACTTAGGCAAACATCACAAGGTCTTGGCCCATTCCCTCTGTCATGGTCAGCACGCCTATCAGGGCAATCATGGTTAGATTCATCTGGGCCAGTTTGGTCAGTAGTATCATGGCCGATTTAGTTTAAAGGCCCGTTTGGGCAATTTATAGAAACAATAGGCATAATATCGTACCAATCATACTTCATCTAAGGTTGTCTACCCCTGAGGAGTATGGTTGGGAGGAAAAAATAATTCGTCTTCAGAGAAGGTAACATCCATGGTGACGTACGTATGTCGAGTGGATGGATGATAACATATATAGCCTTTTTGTTGAGGATTAAAGCCAAGGAACACACACCACACCACACATGGATCAAGCTTGCTTCTTTGATTTTTGTGAAGATGAACATATGCCACACAACCAAAAACCCGAGGTTCAATATGAAGAGTGGGAGGGAGCAAAACATGATCAACAAGCATGACTAAGGGGGTTTTAAAAGAGAGAACACACAATGGCATTCGGTTCATGATATAAATAGCATAAGTGACAACATCAACCTAATATGTCTTGGGTGCACAGCTACCAATAAGAAGGGCACGGGTAATCTCAAGGATGAGTCAATTTTTTCGTTTGGCAACTCCATTTTGTTGTGGGGTTTGAGTACACGTAGTTTCATGAAGAATGCCATTTTTCTGTAAAAAAATGAGAAAGATCTTGATTAAGATACTCACCACCGTTGTTTGACCGAAGCACTTTAACGGAGAGTGAATACTGAGTATAGACCATGTGATAAAATGCTTTGAAGATGTCACCCACATCACTTTTATTTTTCATGAGGTACAACCAAGTCATCCTAGTGCAATCATCAACAAATGTTACAAACCAACACACACCATGCTGAGTAGTAACCGAAAATGGTCCCTACACATCAGAATGAATTAACTCAAACAAAATTGTTCTTTTATGCAAGGACAATAAGAAGCTCGATGAGTTTTAGCTAATGTGCAAACATCACATTTTAACGAGGACTCTGGAATATTATTAAATAATGATGGAAGTAATTTTCGCAAATAACCAAATGAGGCATGACCTAGCCGATGATGCCACAACTGAACAATCTTCAATTTTCCATGTTCATGACCTTGAACTTGATGAACACACTATTGTGCAACATCATCAACATAATACAACCCTCTCTTCTTAGTACCACGCCCAATGATTTCTTGAGTCTGAATATCTTGAAGTAAATAGAAAGACGAAAACATTTGCACAACACAATTTAATTGCTCAGTAACTTGTCCCACAGATAATAAGTGGCTAGAAAGTGCGGGAATAAGTAAGAAGTTATGTAAGGAAAGAGTAAGAGTGAGTGTTATCGAACTCGCCCCTTTAACCTGAGCAACACCTCTATTAGCAGTGACAATACTATCCCGTGGTGGTGTTGTAGAGCTAAATAAAGTACGATCATAAGTCATATGATTAGTGGCTCCGAAGTCAATAATCCAACCTGTATCAAAATCAACACATGCCATTAAAATAGTGTCTGTGTTACATGGGTCCTCAGATTGCTTATTGGAGGCAATCAAGTTGAGTAATGAAAGTTGCGGGCTAAAGCCCTTTGGATTTTCTTGGTTTTTTACAGCTAGTGGGCTGCTGAGTGAGCCCATGAACACTAGGCTTGCATGGTCATCATCAACACCTTTCCTAAGTTTTCTGTGGGCTCCAGTCTTGGCAGGTTTGGCAGGCCCATTGTCTGATTTGATTGCACCTGATGTTGGTGCCACGACGTGAACCATCGCTCTATCGTGAGCCATAGCAACAACGACTTTGTTGTTGTTTTTTTTTTCTTCTAGGTTGAGACCAAGGTATTAAAGATCGATGATATCGAAAAAATCGGTAGTCCAAAAACACAGAATATCGATGGATATATCAGGATATTATCGATATCGATAAAAATAATATGGAAACCACGGAAATTGTAAGAAAAACTTGGAAATTTTTATTGAAACTTTGCAGGATGTTTATTTAGTCAATTATCTATTAGTTTATCATAAAAAATTGGAAGGAAATGCATTGCATGATGGATTTAACTGATTTAAGTTGATTATATAGCGAGCTGGCAAACATGAAAGATTTAAAGGATGTTTATTTAACTGATTTGAGGTGACCCAACCACACACATAGAGACACGCCACCACACACTCACACATGTTTTGATTAGATTACACACGCACACAACACACGCACGCAGACAGAGACTCCTCAGTCTTTCTCTCTGGATCATTCTCTTTTCTCTCCCTTCTCCCTAGATTACACACGCACACAACACACGCACGCAGACAGAGACTCCTCAGTCTCTCTCTCGATCTTTTTTCTCTCTTCTCTCCCTTCTCTCCTTTCTCTCCCACACACACGCACAGAGATCTGTCGATCTTTCTTCTTCCTTCTCCCACACACACGCATAGAGATCTGTCGATCTCTCTTCTCCCTTAGCCTTGTCGGCGCCGTCTCTCGAAACTCTCATTTCTCTCTGCACTGAGTCCGAGACCCACATACACACACGCACACCATCGCACCTGCTTCAGGAAGACACCCATCGTTATCAGCAACCTCGTCTTTCTCCATCTCCTTCTCATCTCTGCAACTCGGAGAACGCAGGAACTCCAGCGAGTTTCTTGAATTTATCCGGTTAGGTAAGCTTTGGTTTACCTCTTTCTGTTCCACATTGAAGCTTATATGTGAAATTTAAGTTCAAAATCATGTTTTTGCAAGGTTTTTGGGATGAAATCGGCTCGGGTTCGCACAGATCCATCTCCGGCATTCTTCTCCGATTGGCACAGATCTAAGATATTGCGATAATTTCAGAAATATCGCGATATTATCGATATTATCAATAATATCACGATATTTTGACAAAATCTCATTGGATAAGCATTAAAATATCGTTAACCCGAAAAGCCGATATTATCGGCGAAATATCGCCGATAATATGGGCATTTGAGACCATGGTTGAGACTACACATGAAAGTTTCTTGCTTCGAAACCTTTGAATTTGGTTATTGATTTTTGGATTAGGATTAAGGGAAGGTTTCTTGCTTCAAAACCTTGGGCTTGAATGTGGTTGTTGGTGCAGATGGCTATTAGGCAGCCAACAATTAAATCCCAAGTCGGCAGTGAATAAATATGAGGATTTAGAGGAAAAGACAGGTCGAAACCTACTCTGATGCCAGGATAAAACTAATTTTAGGGTTTCAATATATTTCTCTATATTCAAGGAATATTAAAGACATAAAAGGAGAGTTATACCAAACTAGGAAACATAATTACATTCCTATTGTATTATTGTTGACTCATGCCAACACTCACATGGACACTTGTCTGTCTCACGCAGATTCTGCACATCCCGATGAACTGAATGATGAATTTGATACATTCCCTACTTCGTGGCCCTTTAACATAGTGATTAGTGAGGATGAGATTATTAAGTCATACTTTGTCGTGTAAGCTGATCTTGAAGTGTCAAGTGTCACAATCCTAGAAGGGGAGTTAGTTAAATGATTAGCTTAGTCATTAAGCTAACTAGTATATATAAATAGTGGAGTGAATATGATTGTAATAACTTTTGGATATTGAATGAAATAATTGCTTCCTCTCTCTATTTCTCTCTCTCTTATTTCTCTCTGTAAGACTTTCCTTGCTTTCCAAGTATCAATGGTGGTGCGTCCTTTGATCTGTTATGATGGTATCAAGAGCCTAGGTTCATTGAGGTCCTGAATTTTTTACGGTTGGTAGTGATAGCAGTAGAAGATTTGGGGTTACAAGGCTTTGAAAGTCGATTGAAAGTCAGGTGTGTTCTTCGGAGGATCTTGAAAAATTTTCTTTTCAATTTGATTTGATGTTGTTGATAATTGTGGCACGAAGCCAGAATTATATGTGTTTGAAGAAAGATTATGTGATATATCATAATGAATGTTGAGCACGAAGCTAATTTGTTCTTGGATTTGAGTCGGTGTCTGTGTAATTAGGGCACTGAATTGAATGTTGGCCTTGAATTGATTTTGTTGGTAAAATTTAGTGAAGAATTGTTGAGCACGAAGCTCTTATTTGCACAAAAATTTACAAATTTGGCAGGTTTAAGGCATGAAGCTTGTCTTTTCTGTATACGAAGATCAATTTCTTTCTGAGAAATTTAGGGATTCTTTATAGTATGAAGCTCTAATTTGGCTTGATATACAACGCACGAAACGTGTAGATTGATTCTTTATGAATTCACAAATGGCGTCTTCTTCTGTCAAAATTGAAGGTTTATTGGGAATGCTAACGATCCGATTACAAGAAGATAATTTTGCAAAGTGGTCATTTCAGTTTCAATTTGTCTTGGAAGGATATGATTTCTTTGATGGCATTAATATTTGTCCACCAAAGTATGTGATTTCTCTAGAAGGTTGTGTAACCAAGGAGATTACAAATGCTTATTGAGAGTGGGTTAAAACAGATAAAGCCTTGTTAAGTTTGTTGATTGTTATTCTGGGTGATGAAGCCATTGAGTATGTGGTTGGTTGTAAGACCGCTCATGAAGCTTGGACCAGTCTTACTGATAGATATGCAACAGTATCTCGAGCAAGAATCAATCATCTCAAGACTGAACTTCACACTATTAAGAAGGGTGCTGACACTATTGAGAAATACTTGCTGCGTCTTAAAGGTTTAAAAGATCAGTTACTTGTTGCAGGGGAAACTGTTTCAGACAATGACCTAATTGTAGCCTCTTGGGTTGGGTTGCCATTTGAGTACAATATGATTAAAACTACGATTGTGGCCCGAGAGTCTTCCATTACACTTAAAGAGTTTCGTGCACAGCTTTTGAGTGCTGAGAAAACTGTAGAAGAAGTTCAAGGTGGTCTTCAATTCCCTATGACTGGCATGTATTCACATAGAGAATCTTCCAATGCTGCAACTCAACGAGGACAAGGGTTTAATGGTGGATATGGAGGTGATCAGTATTATCCAGAAGTGTCTTCAAATGCTGTCTTTCATCATGGATAGAGGAATAATGGTTAACAATTTTATCAAGGAGAATCTTTCAATGCTAGTGCTCAACGAGGACAAGGGTTTCATGATGGAGGTTTTGGATTTGTTAGTCAAAATCAGAGGCAAAATGGTAGTGGTCTTTCTAGTGGGGGCTTTAATCAAGCTAATATACCACCACAATTTCATTCTAATTGAAACAATGGTAATGGTCAGCGGTATAATTCACAACCACGATTCAATGGAGGAAACAATTTTAATTATGGCTATAACAACAGAGGAAGTGGCTATGGTAATTATGATGGGAGTTTTCAGAATAAGGGAGGTTCGAGTTGGACAAATTGGAATGGTAATACTGGTCAGAAATCTGCAATTATTTCTGAACGCCAGATTTGCAACAAACGCGGTCATACCACTCTGACTTGTTACTATTGAAATGACCAGCCACCTATGATGCATGGTACTATATCTAAGTGCCAAATTTGTGGAAAATAGGGGCACATTGCTCTCAATTGCTTCCATCGTAGTAACTATGCGTATCAAGGTACTAATTCACCCTCAACCTTGATTGCCATGACTGCTCAGTCTCATTCCAATTTCAATCCTAATCGAGCATGGATCATAGACACCGGCGCCACTCATCATATGACTGGAGATCTTTATAATATGGATATGATTGCACCATTTAAAGGTGATCAAAAGATCACAGTTGGCAATGGATAGTGTCTTTTAGTGAAGAATACCGATTCCAATTCTTTACATACTCAATCTAAAACATTATATCTTGCCATTGTCTTGCATGTTCCTTCCTTAGCAGCTAGTTTATTATATGTGTATACATTGTCCAGGGATAATAACTGCTATGTGATTCTTGATGAGTATGGTTTTTGGGTGCAGGACAAGGCAACAAAGACAATATTAATGAGAGGAATGCGTAATGGAGGTTTGTATTACATTCCTAAGAGTCTGTCTTTCAAGAATAACAAGCACCTGTTAGTTACAACTCCAAAGGCATTTCTTGGTCAAGTGGTGAAGGCATCTCTTTGGCATTATAGACTAGGACATTCTAGTAATGATGTATTACATAGTATGCTTTCTAATTCTCAGATTGTGTATAAACCAGATGTGAATAAACATGTATGCAATTTCTGTCTTAGCGGGAAAATGTCTAGGCAAATGTTCTCTTCCAGTTCACATTTGTCTGTAAGACCATTTCAAAGGATAAGTAGTGATGTATGGGGACCGTCTCCTATTGTTTCATTTGAAGGATATAAATACTATGTTAGTTTCATTGATGACTATACAAAGTTTACATGGTTGTTTCCTCTGGTATATAAATCTCAAGTTCTATATGTTTTTGAGACCTTCTATGCCTTTATTCAGAACCAGTTTATGCATCCATTCAGTATTTTCAATCCGATGGTGTTGGAGAATATATGAGTTTTGCATTTAGGAAATTTTTGAATTCCAAAGGAGTTGTCCATCTTGTTTCTTGTCCCCATACACCTCAGCAAAATGGAACTGCTGAGCGAAAACATCACTATATTATAGAGAATCCTATTACATTACTAACTGCTGCCTCTTTGCCTCATAATTTTTGGATGCATGCTTGTTCTCATGCTCTCTTTCTTATTAATAGAATGACGTGCAAATCATTGGATATGCAATCTTCTTCTTTCAAGTTGTTTGGGACTCATCCATTAGTCACTTGACTTAAAATCTTTGGAACTGCTGTATATCCCTATCTTAGACCTTACACTAAGCATAAGTTGGATCCTAGAACAGATCAATATGTTTTCTTGGGCTATGTTTTAGGATACAAAGGGGTTGTATGTTATCACAGAGGGAAGAAAAATGGTGTTTATCTCGAGGCATGTGGTTCATGATGAACATGTGTTTCCATTTCAACAAGGTTCTATAGTGCATCACATTGTTCATAATTATCAACATCAGTTAAAACATCCAGTTGTTGTTCCAGTTGTGTTACCACAATATGCAAGTGGCACATTTAATCAACAGAACCATCCTACAGTCTCGATGTATAGTGGGGTGGATTCAATGCTTCAGAATACATCATTAGTGCATGCTAGTCCAGTGTCATCTGATAACCGTTAGGATGTAAGCTCATCTCAGATACAGACTTCCCCTTTCAATACTACTCCACACTTTTCTCCTCTAACTACATCTTTGTTGCCTGTCCACCAACCTGCACCATTGGAGGTATTTCTCAATCTCACAAATACTAACGCACTGTCTTCTGATTCTATACATGCTGAAAATTTTGATTATTCAAATGTTCATTTTATGACTACTCGACTTAAATATGGGGCTATTAATGGAAGAGATTACAGTGCATATGCAGCAACAACTAGTCCTAAGTCTTCTAGTTCAGCTCATTCTCTTGATGATACTATATTTCTTGGTTTCACTGCTGTCTTAAATATATTTGAGCCGATTGAACCTGTATCTTATAAACATGTTGTTGTACATTCTCATTGGAGAGATGCCATGTCAGAAGAATTTTCTGCACTTAAAAAACAAGGGAGTTGGGATCTTGTTCCTTTGCCTTCTAATAAGAACATTATTGGTAGCAAATGGATTTATAAGGTTAAGAGGGATCAAAATGGTGCAGTGTCGAGATACAAGGCTCGACTTGTGGCTCAGGGTTTTAGTCAAGAACATGGCTTAGACTATAATGAAACTTTCAGCCCGATTGTTAGGCACAGTACTGTACGAATTGTTTTGGCCCTTGTAGCTTCTAATAAATGGTCTTTGAGGCAGTTAGATGTCAAGAATGCATTTCTTCATGGTGATTTGCATAAGGAAGTGTTTATGAAACAGCCACAAGGGTTTAAGGATCCTCAATATCCTGATTATGTTTGTAAGCTCCAAAAGTCGCTCTATGGTTTGAAACTGGAGTCTCGGGCTTGGAATTCCAAGTTTACAACTTATTTGCCTACATTGGGGTTCAATGTTTCAGATTCAGATCCCAGTTTGTTTGTTAAAACTCAAGAAAGTGCAGTGGTTATTCTTCTCTTGTATGTTGATGATATAATCATCACAGGTTTTGATGCAGTTCTGGTTCAACAAGTTATTGATGAATTGGGCATGGTATTTGCTATGAAAGACATGGGTCAACTCACCTTTTTCTTGGGTTTACAAATCACTTATCAAGACAATGGTGATTTGTTTGTGTCTCAATCAAATTATGCTAAAGAGTTCATCAAAAAGGCTGGTATGGTATCTTGTAAACCTTGTCCAACTCCGTGCAAGCCACACACTCAAGTCCTTAAAGATGAGGGCATACCACTTTCTAATCCTACTGCATTTCGAAGTTTGGTAGAAGCATTACAATATCTTACATTCACTCGGCCTGATATAACTTATGCTGTGAACTATACTTGCTAGTTCATGTCCAATCCTACTGATGTTCACTTTCAGTTGATAAAGTAGATCATTCAATATCTTCAGGGTACTATGGCATATGGTCTTAAATACTCATCTGCACATACTTTGGATTTGTTAGCGTTCAATGATGCCGATTTGGCATCCGATATCAACACAAGGAGGTCAATTATTAGATATGTGGTGTTTTTAGGACAGAATCCCTTATCATGGCAGTCAAAGAAGCAAGGAAGTGTCTTGAGAAGTTCAATAGATGCGGAGTATAAAGCTCTAGCCAATGCTGCTGCAGTTGTTGTATGGATAAGATTAATTTTGAAAGATTTACAAGTCTTTATGCCCTCATCTCTGGTCTTACATTGTGACAATATTTCAGCGTTGGCTTTGTGTTCGAATCCAGTTTTTCATACTAGGATTAAACATTTGGATACAGACTTTCATTTTGTTCGTGAAAGGGTGCAAAAAGGAGATTTACAAGTTGATTATATCTCAACTAATGATCAGGTTGTTGATATTTTGACAAAGGGTCTTCATAGTCCCTTATTTGTTCAACATTGTACCAATCTCAAATTGGGAATCCCCAGTTGAGATTGAAGGGGGTATTAAGTCATACTTTGTTGTGTAAGCTGATCTTGGAGTGTCAAGTGTCACAATCCTAGAAGGAGAGTTAGTTAGATGATTAGCTTAGTCATTAAGCTAACTAGTATGTATAAATAGTGGAGCGAATAGGATTGTAATAACTTTTGGATACTGAATGAAATAACTGCTTCCTCTCTCTATTTCTCTCTCTCTTATTTCTCTTTGTAAGATTTTCCTTGCTCTCCAAGTATCAATGGCGGTGCTTCCTTTGATCTGTTATGAGAGATATGATAGGTTGAGGAGTATTGCAGGGAGATTCCAGACAGTGGTTGGCGACCTGGCTACGCGAGGGGAGAGGCTGCAATCTTTGCTGAGCTGGAGAGACCCGAGAGGTGCTTTTCTGTCTGATTGCAGTGATTGTTCTGTATGTTACTCCGTTCCAGGTTGTGGCTCTTCTTGCTGGATTTTATGTGCTGAGACACCCAAGATTCCGTCATAAGCTTCCTTCTGTGCCGCTGAATTTCTTTAGGAGGTTGTCCGCTAGAACTGACTGCATGCTGTTAGGAAGACCGTTTTATTTATTTTGAGTTGCCTTTGAGTAGCAGGGCATTCTATTTCCGCCATTTCGTGTTTAGTTAATGATGAAGATGCGGTACCTCGTTGAGCTGTTCCGTTTTGAATGCGTAGCCGCAACGAAGACCATGGAGAACGTGACGTTTCCGGTATGCTGTATTTAGACCTCGTCTTGAAGGTAGTAGTTTTTGAAAAAAAATCAGTTAATTATGCCGTCAAATGGAAAAAAACTTTATCTAAGGTGACTAGTTTATGTTCATTTGTAATTTTGTAGGCTTTGATTGGAATGCTGAACCGTTATGTGCTTAATTACATCTTTAGTACTTTTGTTAACTCATCTTTTGTAAAGTTCTTCGGGTCGAACATATTGCTTTCGATGTCTTTCGTGTCGTGATTTCGTTATGTCTTTTTCTTACACATGATGTGTGGGAATGAACAATGGTATAGAACATTGTTTGGCTCCG